ATATTGGGGCAATATGGGGATAATGAAAAATAAAATGGAAACTACTATGTTATAGGGGTTCTATAGGGTTTTATAGTAATAGTATCTACCCGGAAACCCCTCTTGCTCTAACGCCAAAGTAAACCGCAATCATGGGATACTAGCCTTTCACGCGCTTACTTCCGGATCGCACGGCGCCTGGCGCAGCCTTTCCCTGGCAGCCATCTCTTCATCGAAGATTACTCTTCGATGAGCAAGCTCTTGCTGAGAAGACCTCGGTAGAATGCCAAGCTCCAGGTTTTGCACTGGCCACAGAATCACGTGTGGACAACTTTTTGTGCAGGAAAATATATTCAATAATGAATGTAGACCGTAGGGGGACTATCAACGCGGCGACAATAGAGATCTAAAGCGCAGCAACGAGACCCGTGGCATGACAAGCAAACAATACAGAACCTCATGATTTTGGGCTGCCTTTCCCGGGCAGCTGCAAAAGTACTACCTTTTTGGAAGTTGCGGCGGATTCCACTTTTTGCCTGCAATTCTGCGACTGCCCATTGAGCAGTAAAACAGCCTACTGGCCTACCTAGTACATGAAAGTTTGACTACTGCTCATGATGAAAGAAATGAAATAGAGTGCCGTCTCAGCTTGCACTGCATCTCAACATCCAGGCACAAGCAGCGAACAACGCGAGCACCAACCTTATACCAATATCACCCATTGGGAGTCCGAACTGCAGTGGTGTTCTTCCACCGACGTGCTTTGCTTTTGTATGTCGTCCGCCCTCACGCCCCAAAGAAAGTCCCATACCATATCCACCTCTTGAATGCAGGCCCTGCAGCTAGCTGGATACCAGCAGGTCTTGACATTCTGGACCCATAGTGGTCACCCCTACAAGTCTCTCGCAGCACTACAATCACGACCAAGAAGCACTGAACAACCATCATGACTCGGGTTGTTGTTTGTTATATTGCGGTTCTTTTGGTATTTCGGCGGATCTAAAAAAGAGAGGCGTTTTTAAAAGTATCTTCCCTGAAAGCTATGGTCCTTCTGGAAACCGCAGCTTGCAAGTGCTAATGCTATAGTCCCCCTTAAGTAGATAGAATGCAGATGAATGTAGGGCACATGGGTATTTCATGGATATACCCAAAGCCATGTTCTATCTACTTAAGGGGGACTATAATGCTATGCCTCCAGGACACTCTGCCTGTCGCTGGAGTTCGGCCATCTGATCCGCCCGCTGCTTCTCCAACCAGGTTAGGGCCTCCCACTTTAGTTGTGTAAGGCTCTACAAGGTTACACATGTGCTTCTGCGGGAGTTACATAGGGTTATACTGCGCTGTGTAGGGTATAAGAAATGGAAACTACTGCATGACCAATTGTTTAGGGTTCGGGAACATTACCCCAATAGTGGAGAATCACATGGAAAAGATGGAAACTGAGATTAGAGAAATTTGTATAGGGATTGTTTGCTGGAGCCTGCTGAATTTCAAGAAGGTTGCTCCTATATGTGTATTGAGTTATGGAGATGGCATGAACGGTCTGGCTAGATTAAGCAGAGCTCAACTGAGGCCTTTTTGGTAGCATTTGCTACATAAACAAAAACCATGACTTGGGGTGACTAGCATCCCGGGATTGTCATCTCACCTTTTATTAGCTAGGAATGAAGGGATGGATCCTTGCGGTAGTCCGTACATAACCCATTAAGGTAGCTTCCATTTTCTTTTCCATTCCTTCATTACCAGCTGGCCGCCAAAGGTAAGTCATCGGGGTTTGCAAGGTCAGGTAAGCCAAGGCTTTGGCGGGTGTCGAAACGGGGCGAGGTGTCAGGGCCCGTACAATGTTTGCGGGTTTTGGCGCAATGTTTGCGGGTTTAGGGTCTGCGGGTTACATCACTGGCCCGAATCTGGGCCGCATCTAGATGCCGCAAGTGTTCCATCTGAAAACTACCCGAAAAAATGATTAAACAAATGGACAAACCGCTTCACTCCAGTGGGACATTGTCAGTCCTTCTCCTGGCATTAGCCGTGACATGCCGTGACGCCCCGCCTGTTGCAGCTGCTGCTCTTGCATTGCCTGGGCTTCAAGGAGGCTGCGCCGCTCCTGTTGCAGGGAATTTCATTTACAGCACCATAGAGGAGAATCAACACGACAATCAGATGGAACAGGAAATGGAAACTGGGGCAGTTATACAGGAAGCTGGCGGGTCAGTGAGGAAGCTTTGTAATGTTCGTGGACTTGCTGCAGGTGTGCTGGAAGCACCCCACAAATTTCGCAGGCGCACAACTCACCCATACTCATGCACACAAAGCTGATGAAATCCCTATATGGCTCCAGCTACCATTCAACTTTCCATGTTGAATTCCCGTTTTTCTCCATTCTTGGGGTTGGGATTCTCAAAACCCTCTTCTCTATTCATAAAACTCTTACTCACTGTGTAATACCCGTCCTCCTCCAACGCCGTTTCCTCACATGGACAAATTTGCAACATGCTTCAATGCTGGTGACACACACACACACACACTCCCAAGATGCTTCTAGACTTTACCGGTGCAGTCAAGTTGCAAGAGCATGTCTCTGCTCTTGCTGGAGCGCCTGCTGAGCCGCAAGGATGTCCACTACCGAAAGGTGCTCTTGAACACTGTCGAGCACTTGAAGGCTGCCGTAGAAGCGCTCCTCCAAATCCCTTGCCGTTAGCTGAGGCTTCTGGGAGTTTGAAACCCCTCCTGGCAAAGGCAAGGGCATTGCCGTTCCTTGTGCTGACAGCGAAGGCAGCGGGCGGTAGGGGGGCAGCGGCGGAAGCTCCTCCTCCAACCCAGAAAGTGATGATGGCGAAGCCGGAGTTACTGCAATGTCACACAGATCCATGTCCAATGCTGGGCTCTCTGGGACCTCTTGTGGCTTTGCTTGGGGTTGGGATGGTACCAAGATATCATCCTGCACATAGTCTTTGTATGTGCTTGCGACCTCATCGCTGCCAAGTCCCTCAGTACCGGCTGTCGCAAGGCAAGCGGTAGTTGCAGGGCTACACTCCGGTAGAACATCTCCAGGTGTTGGACCAATGGAAATCTGCTCAGGTTCAGCTTGTCTGGCCTTGAGTCCGCAAAGTTCCGCTGCTTCCCGGTCCTCTCCAAAGATGTCGACCCTTGGGCTTGCATGGCTCGATGCGTCACTGCCCAGCTTGACAAGCACATCTTCTGCCTCCAGCTCCTCATGCTGCCAATCATGAGGCCGCTCGTCTCGGTCGCAGCGTTGATTTCGCGATGCCTTCTGGCGGAGCGCTTGTATCACAGGCACGTCATACAGCCCTCCATGGCGATCTCGGATCTGGCGCCTTGCCATGGAATCGATATTAAGCTTGGTCATCTGCGCTCGAGAGTCACTGCCGAATCCAAAGGGTAGGCTCACACGTCCTCCCGCTTTGAGGGTGATCTCTCCCGAGTGGCTTTCGCGACCCAAAGTTCGAGATCCTTCTGGACCCAAGTCGTCCCTCAAGCCATCCCTCTGTGTAGGCTCTGATGCAACGTCATCGATGCCGAAGCTCGATCGTTTTTGCGGAACGCTGGCGTGAACGGTCTTGCTTGACAACTGCCATTTGCGCATGCGAAGATCATTGGCATCATGGGCATCTTGTTCCATTCCCTTCACAACTATCTCCCCCCATGAGTCATCTCCCGGGACATTTGTTGTGCCGGCAGGTGGTGGGCTCACATCCTGCCCATCCTGCAGATCGGCCAAACCTGCCTCGTGCTTGCCGAGCTTGCTGTATGAAGGTGCCAGCCTCCCCAGGCCGCAGGTTTTGATCACATCTGCCTGGTCAAGCTGCAGGCCATCATCGTACACAGCTGCTGTTTGAACACAGGCAGACCGCTTCGACTGCATCTGGCGTCTGGCACGGGATATGGTATGGTCTCTTAATTGCGACGCGAGATCTTCGCGCTTTCGCGGCGGCTTTGGCAGCAGGCCAACATCTGCAACAGGCTGCATGCCTTGCGAAAGCTTGTCGGGCTCTGCAACCACCGGAGGTGAAAGCCCCAGCTGCTTGCAGAAACCCAGCAACTCCTCTTTGATTGAGCTCGCGGTGCGCATAGCAGCCTCTGATGTTGACTGAACGGAGTGCATCCTCAATGGCTGTGCGGCCAAACTTTGCTTGGTCATATTGACTTTGGTGGAGCGCAGCTTCGTACGCCGCTCCAGCTTTTGTGCAAAAAGACCACGCGGATCATTGACCTCAGCTTCCTCCCACTCGTCATCATCCTCATCTTCCTCACTGTCCTCTTCATCATCATCCCTCCTATGCCCCCAGCTGCGGCCAGCTGTTTTTCCAGCAGTTCTCCCGGTAGCCCCATCCAGTTGGAGCTTTGAGAGCTGAGCGCCAGCAGATTTGGCTGGTTTACTCCCAGGGTTCCGCACGTGGCTGGCAACAGGGTTCACGGCTTCTTGAAAAATGCCAGACGTATTCCAGTACGGGAGAGTCTTCTTCCTGGCAGTCTGACGGAGCGCTTGGCGCTGCACACGGCGCGACTCCTGCCATGCATCTATCCATGCTGGCATGCCAGCAGTGGGTGAAACTGTTGCGAATTCTGCCTAAGGAAAATGCTTACTTATACAGTCGACACCTGATCACTCAGGTGCAAACATCTCTGAAGGCTTTCTAGTAGGGATCCAGCTACCTTGACGACCACAAACATCGAGAAGCATGACGTGAAAAATCTGCAAACGATGTTGTGTGCTGAGTCAGTGCTGAGCCAATGGATGCAACGAACATCAGCACATTATGAAGCCTGCTACCACTTCCACTGCCCGCGACGGTACCTAGCTCGCATGCATGCGGATGGCCACAGACCGCCTCATCTTCGCAAAAGTCCACATGACCAGAATGAGAATCGCCTGCCAGCAGTTAACAAGCTGGACCTAAAGTCCAGCATGAGGGAGGGCAGGAAGGAACCCTACGACATCATGCAGCGAATCGAATAAGCACGTTTTGCATGTGTTGCTGGGCAGTGGCCCATGGGACACTGCACTGGTGCCAGGGTGTGCCTTCAACATGCTGTCGATGATGACATCTACCCACTTCACGAGATCAGGTCCCAAAGCATACCTTCAGCGGTTCAGCATTCACTGGGTCATGACCGATGGGGCCAGTAGCATCTTTAGCGCAGTGATCCTGCTTGAATGCGGCTGAAATGCGCAAGAACAGGTGCCGTGTAGCGCGTCACCTAATCATCAGCAAGTTCTCGACTGCAATCATCAACACCAGCTTACGTAATCCACGCAGCGATTTTAGAAAGGGTGCATAATGCGAACCTTGCAAATTTAGCTGTCGGCTGGAAATTTCAGCATCTCAGCGATTGCCAGAGCATACGCGGTCGTCTGCGCAAACTTCAAGCTCAACCTGGAACCAAGGCATGCTGTGCAAAGCTTGTGACACACAAAGCAAATGCAGGCATGGTGCGTTGCCACGACCGCCAACCACGCGGACCAAAGATTGCCCACCGCGCTTTGCAATCGTTTCGGGTCTTTAATACCTCAGGAACACGTTCAAAACAGACAATGCGCACCACACTCCTCACGCAATGTGCGCTGCTGAAGCAATTGCATGAGCCGCCAGCTTAGCAGCGCCAGTTTTGACTTGTGCGCGACCAACTCTTGCCCTGTCATGGCCTCAACGTCTCGAATGCCATCCTCGGGTCGTGTGGTGGAGCATGACAAAAACCTACAAGTGTAACAGCTGCGCCCAGTCCGGGCTAATTGTTGTTAGCGCGGCCTTGTTGGCATCTACTTGCTCATCTTGGTCGTGCGCAGCCATGACCTCAACATCGCGCTCAACTGTTGCACATCGGTTGAAGCCCCAGCACAAACATGCACAAAGAATGTTACGAGCGCACGTCGTTTCGTAT